TCTTTTACCTCATGTGTCTCCTTACTGTCTCTTGCATTCGAATTTGCGTCTTTTTCGTTGTTTCTAATAATCTCATATAATTGGAACAGACTTCTGGTCTTGTAGATGTGAACTTATATTAAGTGTAGGACCTTTTTAGCAAGTTGTATGGAAAGGTTTGGCACTTTGGCCTGCCTGCGGGTTACTTCAAGAGGAAAGATATTTTTTAAACTGCAAGTTGCAAGTATAGTTGTTTGAGCTTGCGAGTTCCAATCAATGTTGGGGCTTATTTACAATACGGATTGGGGATCTTATATCTTACCTCATTTTCCTGGTGACATCTTGAATCTGGTCATACAGCATTGACTCTTTCCTTATGTGTACCCTTTTTTCATTATTAACCAATTTCGCGCTTGCAGTAATATAAATTGGCTTTTGGTATAAAAAAAGCTGATGTGTCAAAAATTAGCCACAAAACGGTCACCAAAGATTCATAATATTTTCTTGAAATTAACATTCTCTTATCCTTATTATCTTATCATTCAGGTTACATAGCTCAACATCACCTGTTCTGCCAAGAAAGTAGCAAATAGCTGCCATTGTTATGTCTGTACTCATTGAAGGCCTCCCTGATGCGGTCTCCCTAAGGTGTCTTGCATGGGTCCCTTATTCCCTTCATCCCAAATTACAACTGGTCTCTCACTCTTGGAGAGCAGCCATCCGAAGTGGCGAGCTTTTCAAAGCCCGACAAGAAGTCAGCTCTGCTGAAGACTTATTGTGTGTGTGCGCTTTCGAGCCTGACAACCAATGGCAGCTCTACGACCCCACTCGTGACCTTTGGATCAAACTCCCCCTCCTGCCTTCAAACATTAGACAGCTTGCACATTTTGGGGTGGTCTCAGCTGCTGGAAAACTGTTTGTCCTCGGCGGCGGCAGCGATGCTGTGGACCCATCGACTGGTGACCAAGACGGAAGCTTCGCGACTGACGAGGTATGGTCTTATGACCCGGTGACGTGGCGGTGGGCCCTATGTGCTCCAATGATGGTCCCACGTGCAATGTTTGCATGTTGTGTGTTGGATGGAAAGATTGTTGTTGCCGGCGGGTTCACTAGTTGCAGAAAGTCAATATCGAAAGCTGAAATGTATGACCCGGAGAGGGATACATGGGTTTCACTCCCCGACCTCCATCACACCCATAACACTGCTTGTACCGGGGTGGTTATTGAGGGTAGGGTCCATGTGATACACAAGGGATTGCCAATGGTGCAGGTTCTGGAGAGCGTGAAGCAAGGGTGGACTGTTCATGACTACGGTTGGGTCCAAGGACCGATGACTGTGGTCAGGGGGAAGCTTTATGTTATGAGTAATGGACTTGTATATCAGCAAGAGAAAGAATCGAACCGGGTTGTGGTTTCGGCGTTTGAGTTCCGTAGGAGGATTGGGTTTGCAATGACGGGACTTGGCGACGATATATACATCATTGGTGGGGTTGTAGGTCCAGAGAGGTTGAATTGGGACATTGAAACAACCTCTGACGTTGATGTTCTAACGCTCGGGAGTGAAAGGCCCATTTGGCGTAAGGTGTCTCCCATGACGTTATGCCGAGGAACCATTCTTGGTTGCACACAACTGAGAATTTAGGGTTCATTTATGTACTCTGAAAGCTATTCCTTAAGTTGTCTTTTTTCTTACTGCTTTGAATTTGCACATTTTTTACAACAAAAGTTGTAGCTTTGTGGATACTTGAAACTCAGCTTACTATGTTAACATGGGAAATACATGTTGCTTTACTTGTACGGTTGTACCCATATTTTTTTCTTCTGCTGTTGAAGCTATTCATTTGCTTTGCATATATTCCTCATCATGTTGTCCTTCTGTCTGGTATAAGTTGTCCAAATGGCTAATCCTACTTTATAATGTAATGCCTTCCTTTAGCCACAAGCATAATGCCTTCCCATTGGGGTCAAATGCAAGTACTTCTATGTGTTTAACACTGTTTGAAACCCCCTTTTTCCAGATCTGCACCATTTCAGAGTTCAGACTGCTTCACTACAATTCTGGTTCGTATGTTTAGCCCACCCCCAGCCACTAGCCAGTAATGCAGGAAATTTGATAAAAGACGTGATAATTTTGAATAGTCCAAATCGTTTTTCTCCATAAGCACTGCAATGACTGCATTATTCAAAACATTTAAGGAATCAAAGCCCATTGTGATGATTCAAAATTACATCGTTTTATCATTCACACTTTTATGTTGTGTGAAAGTGTTGAACTATGGCTAATATTTTTGGAAAATGCTTAGTGTGCATGAGTTGTACACAAATTGTACACAAAACCCCCCAATTCATTTAGAAAAGGGCAGAATTTGATACCCAATTGCCTGTGTACACATGCAATGTACACATTTTGTGTACATCTTGTGTACACCAAGCATGGTCCAATATTTTTTACACATTGGAGTTGTTGAATTACTCCGTTCATCTGTTTTCAAACCTCACCTAGTCGCGACCATTCATGGTATGTTTGACACAATTAGTTGAAAATATACTTTTGAAAACTTTTTAGTAACAATTTTTAGTTACTGAAAAAATCTTAAGAGAAAAATGTGATAGTTGTTTGATAAATAGGTAATTATTTGATTTAGTTCTCTTTGGTGTACAAGCGGTTGAGTCAATCATGTTGGCCCCAAAACGAGTTCACTTTTCTACCGCCTAAATACTCTTCCAGAACTTCTCGAGCAGGACGCCGTCAAGAAACGAGATTTCTAAATGAGATGGATATGCGTCCAAGACGCAGAGCACAACATGATTGACTCATATTTGTACTCTCACATAGTGTATTATTTATTTTCTTTGTAGTTTGTTTTAATGTTGTAACACTTTTATTAGTCACATATTTTAAATATACCCTTAATATGTTATGAACTTTGTTTAATTTTGAGTTCATATGACTTAAACGCATATTATTGTAAATTGTATTTGTAATTGCATTCGAGTTATGTATAACAATGAATGGGTCAAGTATTTTTAAAACCTGTCGTGTTGCTTATATAGTTATATGTATTCATACTTTATATTTGTACTTTGTTATTTTTTGGGTTCACGTTATTTAATGGATATGATTTTATGAGCTCAAATGGGTCCATTTTTTAAAAATAATTCAATAATATAAGAACTACGTCAACATTCGACTAAGTATCTCTTTACCCCCACTTCGTTACAAACATATATATATGTCCTCAATGCTTTCTTCTTTTTCTTCTGCAATTTCTCACCTCCTCCACCACTCTGCTTCTGAACCCCACCTAGACACAAGAGGCGAGAATATGTTGCTGCTATGGGGGATGGGGAATCACTGCCACTGTGTATCCCTCCAACAAGGGTTTTCTGTAGAAAGTCATGACCGCCTCATCAGATTCTCTTTCTCCTCTATTTTGCTCAGAGCGGTGGAGTTTTGTTCGGATAAACAAATACGGAGTATATTATATTTAGTATTATTTTAATATACGTAATTCCACGTAGACAATTAATTTGGTCGAGAGAGGAATTCGTATACGGTACAGCCGGCTGTACGGTGCCGGCAGTACAGCCGATGGCAAACTTGTAATTATGGTGAAAATCACAGATCCTCTTAAATGAGCATTAAATCAATTTTGATGAGTACCGAGCATGTTATTTTGAGTATTAGGATCCTAACGGTGAGCATTAGTGATATCTGATTCATTCCTCATATATCACAATTTGTTTATTATTTTTTCGTTTATTAAAAAGTTTTAGTCCAAAATGAGCATACATAACTTACAAATTAGTATCAAATAATTAAAAAGTTCATTTGTGTGTGCTCATTCATTTCGGGCGTTATACTCATTTGAGTTTAACATAAAACTCATTTCTAATGTGTTCAATATTCATTTGTATATGTTCATTTAAAATGAGTATTACACTAATATCAAATGAGTATACATAAATTACAAAATGAGCATCCATAATACTCATTTGAAATGTCTACTATGCTCATAATTTCATTTATTATGCTCACATCTGAAGAATTACGTATAACTTAGATTTCTCTAACTTGTGGCCAACAAGTGACCAAACTCACTCACCAAACTAAGTAAGAAAAAGAGAAAAAGGAAGAATCCAAAACAAGAAAGAGAGAGAAGAAGCAACTAGGGCTATACATCAGGTGCTGCGCAGGAGCCGCCGCTGAAGTCGGAGTTTGAGGTGATGCGCTCGTGCTGGAGAGTTGCGGCTGTTGAGAATCGTCATCTATGTTGGCGGCGAGCGAAGGACGAGCATCGAGAACGATCTGCGGTGGAAGCCTGCGAACTGCGACGAAGACCTACGACCTGCGATTTGGGAATTAAGTCCGGCTGTACCGTGCGCACAGTACAGCCGGCTGTACGATGAAATTTACCGTCGAGAGAGTATGCATTGTAGGCCTCTTTCATATGTTAATGTCTACAGGGCCGATCCTAAGAGTTTTTTGATCTGAGTCGAGCTGTAAAAAAAGGCCCTCAAGAATTTTTGGGGAGGAAAGTTCATGTTCGGAATTCCGGAGAGGAACCGCCATCCGGACGGCGGCGTTTGGGTGCCTTCCTGGTTGAATTTTTTGATGAAATTTTTATTTCATGTTTTTCATCAAGTCTAGTTTATCCACAAAAAATGTCAGCTAAAACTTTGATCGGGAAGGCCGTCAAATGGGTTTTTAAAGACAACTGGGCCAAAATATACACATAAAACGCAGTTAACTTCCAAAAAAATTTTGACGATCTTCCCGGTTGAATTTTAAGCTGAATTTATTTGTGGATAAACTAGACTTGATAAGGAACATGCCATAAAAATTTCATAAAAAAAATTCACAAAAAAGCGGCCAAAGGCGGTATTTCCTGTCCGGAATTCCAGACATGAACTTTCTTCTATATAAAGGTAACTAATAAATTTTTAGGGCCCTAATTTTTTCCCCAAATTTGTGGGCCTGAGGCAGTTGCCTCTTTGCCTCACGTAGAGGTTCGGCCCTGAATGTCTAATCACTCCACTATTTATTATGTGGACTAAAAACCTTTTTAATACATATTTATTATGTGGACTAAAAACCCTTTTAATACATATGCCCCTTATCACCGACGAAACCAAATGTCCGTTCAACCACCACATTCCTTCAACTACGCCCCCCAAGGTATAATCTTCTTTTTCTCTCAAGTGACTTTTGTCTTTTAGTTTGTATGTGAAGTGGATGAAACCCACTTAATTAGAATGGAAACTGGAAACGAAAAAATGGGGGAAGTTTACAGAAACATAGCCAAATTTTACATTTGGGATTACATTTGTTTTTCGATTTTTTGTATATGTGATACGGAGTACATGTTAATTTTAAGTTCATGATTAGATTGGTATGTTGTTATAGATTTGTAATATCTATTATTAAAATTGTAATTCAATTATTGTATTTCACTTTTATGCCCATAAGATGTTTGATGAAACGATTCAATGAATTTGTTATTAATTATCACGTTTCTTTGTTCTTTTCCTTTTTGGTTAATGGTCAGACTATTTTAGCTATTAGTATGAGTTTTCTATTGATTTTTGAGGTATTTATCTAATAAAGTATCGTTTCTTGTACATGCATATAGCTCCACACTCTGCGTCACTTTCTCTCGCACAAAAAACGTGTAGAATAAAGTAGAAATTAAGTCATAAAAAAGTCTCTTGAACTACTAAGAGTATAGAATCATATGTAGTATTATATATGATAATGATATAACAATAATAATTAATAATAATAATAAATAGCGTGTTTATCGTACTGATCCCAATACACATTTTATCAGTATGTATTTTCAGCCAAAATGGACATTAGTTTAGGGTAACTTACTGTCTCGATCAGTATTACTTATATAGTAGTTATGTATTAATTTGTATATTGTTATTGAAGAATCATAACTAATAACTTTATGTATTACTATGTACGTAGTATATATGTATATTAGTTTCTATTTTATTTAAAGTGTTATAACTAATCACTTTATGTATTAGTATGTGTATAAAAATAAGAAATTTTAAACGGGTCCGGGTCCTTAACGGGTCGGAATCCTATGTACCATACCCGAACCGTTCATTTAAAATACTAACGGGTCCGGATCTGGGTCCAGGTAAACGGAATAAAATATAGACCCATACCCAGTAAAAACAACCGGGTCCGGGTCGGGTATGGGTCTAGACCCGACCCATTGATAGGCCTAGAGCTATTACACGGGTGGGTTCTACCATTTGGAAGCTCTCATCTTTGGGTATTTTCAAGCTTAATACGAATGTGTCTACTGGAGGGGTGAGGCGGGATTTTGGCTAGGTGTTTCCGGACTCTGTGGGTGCATTTGTGGCTGGGGTAGTGAAACCGTGGGAAGGGTTTTGTTCAACACAGGAAGGTGAGTTATTATGCATTCGAGAGGCTCTGTATTGGGTTTTTATGCATGGGTGTACTACAATATAAGTGGAATCTGACGCACTTCAAGCTATCTATGAGATTCGGAAGGGAAAAAGCCAAACGGCTTTTGTTCTTCTAGCAGGTGATATTAGACGATCTACGAATCGTATTGCTCCATGAGTTAGCTTTTCTCATATAAACAGGTTCTTTGTCTAATTGTCGGGCGTGGTTTCATTCTCCTCATGTATCTCTCATTTATTGGACTTTGATCTCATTAATACATATTTTAATGATCTCATTAATACATATTTTACGAGTTCCTTGTGATTTCATTTGGTTTAACCAACGCACCGGCGGCATTCATGGACTTGATGAACCGTGTGTTTAGTGAATACTTAGATCAATTTGTGATAGTATTCATTGATGATATCTTGATATACTCCAAGAGCGAAGAGGAGCACGAGCATCATTTGGGGCTTGTACTGAATCGGTTAAGAGAAAAGCAACTCTTTGCCAAGTTCTCTAAATGTGAGTTTTGGCTCAAAAAGATTGGTTTTCTCGGGCACGTCATATCCGGTTCGGGCGTTGCTGTGGACAACGCCAAAATAGAAGCCATCATCGATTGGGAACGACCTAAGAGTGTGAAAGAGATACGTAGTTTCCTTGGCTTAGCGGGGTACTATCGTAAATTTGAGGAGAAATTCTCTGTATTGGCGTCTCCATTAACAAAGCTCACAAAGAAGGGAGCCAAGTTCATATGGGACGACAAATGTGAGAAAGGATTTCTTGAACTAAATAAAAGACTCACCGAAGCACCAGTCCTCGCCTTACCCATACAGGGGATAGGGTATGATATCTACAACGATGCTAGCATCCAAGGGCTTGGATGTGTACTGATGCAAAAAGGAAAGGTGTTTGCCTATGCTTTTAGGCAATTGAGGAAATACGAGGTGAACTACCCTACCCATGACCTAGAGTTGGGGGCGGTAGTGTTTGCATTAAAGATTTGGAGACATTATCTCTACAGGGAGACATTTTACATCTACACCGATCATAAGAGCTTGAAGTACGTATTCACTCAGAAAGAATTGAATATGAGGCAGAGGAGGTGGATGGAGTTGATCAAGGACTATGACTTGATCATCGACTAGCAGGGCATTACAGGCACGCGTGGAAGTGACCACAAGCGGGGCCCTTGACATTCATGTAATTTCCATGTTTATTTTTGTATTTTTAATTAGTTTTGATTGACTTTTACTTTGGAAATTACACACTTTTGGTGTAATAGTTTAGTTTGTAAAATAATTGTAATTTGTTTAGATTAGGGACTTTCTGAGCTTAAACTAGGTAAAGATCGTCAAAAGGATCCTGGAAAGTTCAAGAAAATTGCAAGGGAACAACAAAAAGTGAAAATTTGGGAAAATAGTCAAAAACCCGACCGGGTTTTCCAAAAACCCGATCGGGTTTGACTTGACCCGAAGATCAAATTTGATTTGGAGGCAATTTAACATGCAGAGCGAAGATTTGGCAAAGATTTGTCTTTTACCCGATCGGGTAAATCAAAAACCCGATCGGGTAGATGTGACTAATGAACATTCCGGGCAATTACTCAAGAAACCCGATCGGGTTTCTCAAAAACCCGGTCGGGTAAATGACCCTGCTACCTCCAAACACCTATAAATACACCTCTTTTCCTTCCCATTTGATATCCAATTCCTTTGTACATCTAAGGTCAGTATAGAATAGCTCTTTCTCTATATTTTTCATCATGTTTAGTCTCCAAATGAGGAGCTAAACTCTTCCATCCTGGTTTTGCTACTTTGAAGCTTAATGAATTTGTAAGTTGTGAGTTATTTTCTTTAATCTTCTTCCTTGAATATTAATTCTTCCTTTAAAATACTATTTCTATATCAAAGTTGGAGAGTGTTACTAAGATGACAATTAGTCAACATCTTGATATTAATCATAGTAGGATTAATATTCTTTAATATTCTTACTTGAATATTAATTAATTCCTATTCATATTTCATATTAATATTTTGAACATTACTTAAAGTATCAACTAGTTTTGTTTCTCATATTAATTATTACTAGAATCAATCGGTTAATGCGCTTGTTATTAATCCGGTTCTTTCAACGGTAGTAAACTTGGAATATTAATGCATGCATCTCATGGTTAATATGCTCAGGGAATTAATTATATTGATTAAACCAATAAACCGCTTGTGTTGAGGTTATCAATCTCAATCGTTTTCATCTTAAGTTTATTGCTACTATCAAGTTAATATACGGCGCTTGTTCTATATTGACTCGATAGTAAATTTTATCAATGAACGCATCTCGTTATTAATAACTACCCTCGATGAACCGGATATACTCCTCGATTGAGTATTTGAGAGGAAGATAGTTAAAGATATAATCGGGATCGACGCACATTTCATTAAGTGGATAAAAGCAAAGCCAAGTCCTCATCTCATTGAATTAAACTCATATAAGTTGTTTATCTTAGTGTTTTTAAATCAAACAAATCTAAATCCCCCCTTGTTACTACGTATATAAAAGAAAAGTATTCCTTTCCCTGTGGATACGAACCTTACTACACTATACTACGTATTAGTGTTGTATTGTATTTATTTTGATTGCACCTAACGACAAGTGCACGTCAGCCCTCACAGCGAGGTTCGAGGTCAGACCTACCTTGATGGATGAGATCAACAGAGGTCAAGGCATTGATGAAGAATGTCAGAAAATCCGCGAACGGATCCTTGCGGGGCCCGTTGAGATTTTTCGAGTACGTGATGATGGTCTTTTGTTGTTCAAAGATCGTATATGCGTACCAAAGGATGAGGAACTTCGGAAATCCATACTTGAGGAGGCTCATTCTTCAGCCTATGCTATGCATCCAGGAGGTACAAAAATGTACCGAGACCTGAAAGAAAGTTATTGGTGGTCCGGTATGAAGAGAGACATCGCGGAGTATGTGAGTTGATGCCTTACTTGTCACCAAATTAAGAGAGACATCAGCACCCGGCGGGGCTTTTACAACCACTTACCATCCCAGAATGGAAGTGGGAACATGTGACCATGGACTTTGTGGTAGGGTTACCACGGACGGTGAACAACTACGATGCCGTATGGGTGGTGGTTGACAGGCTTACAAAAAGTGCACACTTCTTGCCTATCAACATCACTTATCCTCTTGAACGCTTGGCCAAGTTGTACACGGAGGAGATTGTGAGGCTGCATGGAGTTCCAATATCCATTGTCTCGGATAGGGACCCACAGTTCACATCCAGGTTTTGGCCAAAGTTTCACACGTCGTTGGGGGACTAAACTGAAGTTTAGCACAACTTTTCACCCACAGACGGATGGATAATCCGAACGGGTAATACAAATTCTGGAAGACATGCTTAGGTCATGTGCTTTGGAGTTCCAAGGGAGTTGGGACAAACATTTTGCACTAGTGGAGTTTGCCTATAACAACAGTTATCAGGCGAGTATTGGCATGTCTCCATACGAGGCATTGTATGGGAGGAAATGCAGGACGCCGTTGTGTTGGGATGAAGTTGACGAGGCCAAGCTCGAAGGTATAGAACTTGTCGAGATCACCAAGGCTAAGGTGAAGGTTATTCGAGATAGACTTAAGGCTGCCCAAGATCGGCAGAAGAGCTATGCCGATAAACGACGTAGACCGTTAGAATTTGCAGTTGGTGATGAGGTGTTTCTAAGGATTTCTCCTTGGAAAGGTATCATCCGATTCATATCGAGGGGTAAGCTTAACCCCCGATACATTGGTCCGTTTGAAATTCTTGAGAGGATTGGGGCCGTGGCTTATCGTCTCAAGTTATCACCTGAACTTGAAAAGATTCATGAAGTGTTCCATGTATCGATGCTTAAGAAGTATGTACGAGATCCGTCACATATTCTTGAGAGACCGCCGGTAGAGATCCGAAAGGACTTACAATACGCAGTGGAACCGGTGAAGATAGTGGGTCAACAGGTAAAGAAGCTTAAGAACAAGGGGATTCCTATGGTGAAGGTACTTTGGAGGAGTGATCGAGTCGAAGAAGAAACCTGGGAGACCGAGATCTCAATGAGGGAGCAATACCCGTTTCTTTTCAATTAGACACGTGATTTCGAGGACGAAATCCCAAATAAGGGGGTGAACTTGTAACACCGTCCCCAAATATATTTACTTTTTAGTAAATCATGTAATAAATCTTGAATATTGATTTATGAATTTACGTGGTTGTAAATTTTTGGTTATTTCTTTCGCGTGAATAGTGAACTGCATGTGGGGCCCACATCGGGAGCGGGAACCATTCGGTAATCCTGAGACCACATATTATATTCATCTTGGTCTAGATAATATTTATATGATGGGTATATATTTTAGTTGGGCCATAGAAAGGGCTTAGGGTTGACCCGTCAGTCAAACGAAGCCCAATTACCGGTATTGGCACTTTATCAGATAACAGCCCGAAACAGATTTCGGAGACTTCTAAATTAAAGATGAGGAATGTATATTCATTCTAAGAGTCCATAAGGATGGGAAACACATAATATATTTTATTTGACTCGATAAAATAATATATATTTAAAATAGTCCGAAAAATACAACTTTCGGGACCGATTGTCCAAATCGGGGCACAAAGGGATGACCTCCCACATAAGTGGGGGCCACCCCACTTTTTTGTGCTCAAGTTTGACAAGGGGCTGCATTATGGGGGAGGAGTGATGGTGATGATGGGGCACCTAAATTAAATGGAGGTAGACCCCTTTTCTTTCACTCATTGCTCAAAGAGACAAAAAGGAAGCCCATCCTCTCCCTTCTTCACCTAAACTTCGGCCAGCACCAAGGGGAGAGAGAAAGGAAGCTCTTCAACTTCATTCTCCATAGCCAAAGCAAGCTCAAACAACAAGAAACTCAAGGAAGAAAAGAAAGTAGCAAAAGTAGAGGAAAACTTGGAAAAATAAAGGTGAGAAGTTCTTTAATAACTTTTCTTCCAAAATTTGATTTCCATACGTATTCTATATCCTATTGAGGACTCCTAGAATCATTCTACACATTTAGAAGTGTAGAATGAGGGGTTGGAAGGTGGTTCTAAGTCCAAGAACGGACTTAGAAGCCAAAACGACCGGTTCGCCGGAAAATAACCTTTTGGAGGTTATTTGTATTGATATGAGTTTTGTGATGATAAAACCATGTTAGGAGCTTAACTGAGGTGTTTCTAGAGTTCTCCAGAGTTCGCCGGAGTTTCGCCGGAGTTCAACCAAAGAGCATAGAACACACTATAACACATTTAAGGTGAGTGGATGGCTTAATGTCTTGTAACTTTTGGATTAAGCATTAGATTACCTAAGTAAATGTTATGTGTGTTCATAATAATGTTTAAATGAATTAAACATGTGATTAGCCAATTAAAGTGATTAGGCTTGTATGAAGTGAACTATTGACATATGCATGATTTGTGAAGTGAAAATGCTCACAAAAACATGTGATATGTTTAGAGATGAAATGTGCATAAAATAGTTATTTATAACTTTGTACATATTGTGACTAAGTGTGACACACATTGGATTTGGAATGGCGGGTCAACCGAGAGTTGACCGGCGCCGGTTTGGCTTTACTTTACCTATATGCTAATTTTAATGCATGAGTTGCATGGATGATTTTGTTTAGGCCTTAAGACTTGGTCTAGTCTTGTTTATTGATTATGATATAGGCCCTATCTAGTATGATATGTGGTAGATCATAGGTCGGGTGGAGTACCCAAGGATCGGACGGTATCCTCAAAACTTGGTTATATAGGGTGGAGTAACTAAGGATCGGGCGGTATCCTCAAAACTCGAATATATAGGGCGGAGTACCCAAGGATCGGACGGTATTCTCAAAACTCGGTTGTATAGGGTGGAGTACCCAAGGATCGGGCGGTATCCTCAAAACTCGGTTATATAGGGTGGAGTACCCAAGGATCGGGCGTGTATCGTCAAAACTCATAGATTACTATTTAGTAATTCAGGACCGGGCGGTGTCCTTATGATTATTTGATTTGGACAGTTTGAGTCCTATACACTCATAGGTCTATGGGTGGGTTGGGGTTTTAAGTCAAGGACATTGACTACTACTATTTTTCCCAATTAAACAAGGGAAAACTATCAAATAAGCCCTCGTACTATACCGAAAAGGTCGATTAGGCCCTCGTACTTTACAAACACTCAATTAAGTCCTCGAACTATTAAAAAACGTTTAATTAAGCCCTTTCGGTCGGTAAGTAACCGGTTTCCTGGTTAAATGTAACGTGTCTCCCGGAAGCCGCCGTTACTGGGGTTCGAGCACATCGTCGCCATCATCGCCATTTAACCGGGAAATCGGTTACTTACCCACC